CATGCCGCCCGATTATCAATTACCTAAAAGCTGTCATCAGTAAAAAAAAATTAGACAATGGCTCCGTATTGTGCCAAGCAATGAAAGTTGTGTCGAGATTGTAATTGAAAATGATGGAAACCATGTTCAATAGCTGATTCGTTTTCATATTACCAATGAGTTTTATTAACAATCTTTTGTATTAATGAATCTATTTGTATATAATAAGCGAGCTTAAAAGGTCGCGGCATTTTTTTTTCTTGTTCTGCTTCTCTGCCTTACACAACCGACAGATAGAGATTGTTGAAATGTCAAAGGTACCGATATGTAAAAATGTTTCGTTTAGAAATTCTTCATTTAAAATAAACTAAAACACTCAAAAGTTCAACCTAAGTTCGTAAATTCTATTCATTTCCATTTTTGAGTGATTTGGTTTTTTTGGGTTTTTTTTTTTTTTGTTATTTTTTTATGGGATTCCTGGTGTGATTTTTTCCCGCGCAGACTTCAGTTGCATGTCGAAGGCAGGATCTCTGACCTTATCGTTCTTATTTGACGTATGTCACCGTTAATGTACGCCATGACATTATATTTTCAACCCAAATGCGTACGCTGCACTGTGACATTATAGCATGAACGAAACAAAATGTCGGCGTTAGCTGAGCATTTATTATATAATTATCAATGAATAACAAAGACGTGTTCTCAGTTCTGGGGAAAGCGCACTCTGATTTCCCCCTTATGGTTTTAGAATCTAGTTATGTTAAGACCTCCCAGTCACTCCTCTGTAAGCAGAAGTCATAGCTTTAGTCTTAAGTATAACTAGCCTTTGATGTTTATATATTTGTCATATAATATCCTTGCTCAGATGTTGGTTTTAGTCCTTGTACACATTTCTTGTCCTCGAGAGAGGAACGACAAAATGGTTAAGCTGTTTTTGTTTTCTTTTACTTTTTTTTCTATCTCTCCCCTCCAGCTATAGATTAAATAGTATGACTCGTATCGGGAAAAATATTTGTTATTCTAAAATAAAACTAGTTGTACTTTCTTTTTGTTTTTATATGCCCGCTTTAATCGTAATTATTAAAATTTATATCTCTTAAAATGTTCAAACAAAATTAGTTTATACTAAAAAAGTGCATTCAATGATTTTTTGTAATTGTTTACGCATACACTATGATAGCCTGATAAATCTCGTAATAGTGTGTTTGGAAAGAGAGAGTATTTTAGTATTTTCCACTCTCCAAGGTCCACTATAGTCATCATTATATTCGCCTTCTATGTGTCGTGTCCCTTCAGGACATGGGTGATCATGGCTCTCAACAACTTCCTACCCTTTGTAGCTCTTTGTCAAGTTTGGCTTTTCCCCATTACTCTCAGCCCCTGTTCTGTCAACTAAATTCGTTAGATACGTTACTAGCCGCTTTCCTCTGTCCCTCTTTCCTTCAGTATGACATGTGAGTGTCATATTCTACAAGCCTTCTTTCCTGGAAATTTCCACTCTCTCTTTCTTATTCTTATTATAAGCGTCCTTTATGCGCACATGTTCAATACGTGATATTCTTAGCATCCTTCTGTAGAACAACATTTCTGTTGCCTCAAGGCTCTTCTTCATCTGCCATAAAGGGGGGCCTATATTACATGAGAGTTCAGCACTTCTTTTCTTGTTTCTCGCGAAATTTTCCTACTTTTTAATACTTTGCTTAGCTTTTGGAAGGCATCTATCGTCATCCCAAAGCGCCTTCGGATTTCGTTTTCACATTTTCTGCTAAAACACTTCCCTGAACACCTGTACACGACGGAAGGATGGACAAGAATGATCGAATGAACTAAATTCCGAAATTTAGTTATGCATAAAAACATTTTATATACAATACTGAGGTACATAAATATTAGTCTCACTAAAGATGTAATATATATATATATATATATATATATATATATATATATATATATATATATATATATATAACTTCTTATATATTAGTATAATTATTTAAAAAAATTATAACATATATTTATAAAATCACTACAAAAATAGCCATTTTGTTTCAACACTTGCTAAAACACCGGAGGTGTTGAAACAAAATGGCTATTTTTGTAGTGATTTTGTAACATATTTATGTTATTAATTTATTTTTTTTTTTGAATAATTATATCTGCTCTATTTTGTATTGAGCACTCTTTTAAGAATAGTAATTGTTGGTTATTGGAAATCATTCCGTATACACCAATTATATACTTGGGTATATATACAGTATATATATATATATGTGTGTGTGTGTGTGCATAAATTATTTATGTGTGTGTATAAATTTAATCTTTGCCAAAAAGTGAGTATCATTTCTGTTAATTCACTCAAAATGATGTAAAGTTACTTATCGTAAATATTCATTCTGCCCAATTAATTACAAATTTTAAATCAAAGTCTGTTTTTCATTAAATTTTTGGCACTCTTGAAATTATAAAATTTAAATCATAATTAGTCACACTAAGATGCAATATATGAGTGTGTGTGTGTTTATATTGTGTGCGTATGTGTGTGTGCGTGTGTGTGTGTGTGTATCACGAATTGTCCTTCACAGAGAAATTTAAAAATATTATTTAAAAAAAAACAATCAGTATGTGAAAGAGGAATGGATAGCGGCTCGGATTGAGGAATCGGAGAGCCGAGTTCAAATTCCAGTCAAATCCATCACATTCACTTACGTGCTAATAGTCTTGCGAAAGGTATGAATCCTCTTCTTCTCTCCCCAACTATGGGTAAATAGCAGGACAGAGTGTTCTATAGCCGGAAAAAATCTGCCTCGTCAGGCATGTATCGAAAGATACATGATCGCCTAAGCGCGTATCACGCATGGCACATAGCTGACTGATATGAAAGAGACGAATAAAAGAATGTCTTACTTGTATCCCCCCACCCAGTAGGAGGATGAAATACCCTCATGATAGGTCTTAGTGTCCTATTTAAGAGGCGAGTAACTGTGCCGCCCACCGCGGTCAAACGAGCCACCGTGTCTACCTCACTCGTTAGCTAAGTAGCAACCGACTGTTCTCACCAACGTGCTGCCACGTGATCTTCAAGTGTCCCTTAAGACATCAGTTAATTTTTCCTGTCCTTCTGCTTCTCTATACTGGGTACACAAGGTATGTTTGTAAAGCATGCAAACGTTTTGAATATTTCGAGAATTGATTTCGTTGCTTTTATGCAACTTTGCACCCAACCTTAAGGTAACTTTTAAGCACCGACGAAACATCGACCAGCAGTGAGACCGTCGAGTCGGTTACCCACTCCAAGAAAATGAATAATCGGTCGAGGGGTTATCAACAGACTGCACTGTAACTGCTGTTCTACTAAGTACAACACTCTGAATCATATGGTTTTCTGCTCTGTTATTTAACCCGTAGATGGTAAACGAGATAGTTCATACCACTCTAGGATAATTGTGTGAGAGTGAGCGTAACGAATTGACCGAAATTTGAACTTGATTTACCAATTTCTTGTTCCGAGCCGAAAAAAAAATGTTGAGAATAAAAACTAGTTAAAATATTAACACAATTAGAACCATTGTGGTGATCATACAAAGGCGTGTGTTAGCTAGAGTGCGCGCTCCATATTTTAGGCCTTGTGCCACATCTAAGCTACGCTTAGAAAATTACTTTGGGAACTTGGGTATGGTGTAATATTTAGCAAGCGTGTTTCGCTAGAACAATTACGACTGAGTAGTGTGTTCGATCCTCACTCGGTGTTCCAAACTATAATACATGTAAGCTACGCTTAGAAAATCACCATATTTTCTAACCCTCTCTCCCCATGTCTAACCATCTTTATATATTTCTGAGTTTTGAATTCAGAGTTACCCTACTCATAAACCAATTGCCAATCACCGTTGGAGAGCCCAGTTTTTCCTGCTATTTAGCCCGTATTTGGGGGTAAGAAATGGATTCATACTTTTACTAAGGATATTTGTGCGAAAAGAAGTATAAGCGGAATTTAAACACGGCTCACAGATTTCTCGACCTACCTGATAGGAAAGATTTGATAAATAAGACTCCCAGAGTTTCCATAGCTAGTGAGTTAGTGTAGCAACACCATATGCCACATGTGTTTATTATCAAGCACTTCACTGATTCTATGCGTGATAGTAGTTAAAACATCAGCAGTGGGCCTAGAAGAGAGAAAACCATACTGTTTGTCGCTTGTGTCACTTTATGTTTTCTACTTCTTAATTAGATGAGTCTGGGTGTTACATTCCTATTTATAGGTTTGTAACTTAAAAGTTGACAGACAACATTAATTAACAATAATATGTAATGTTTAACATTAACCTGGAATATATTATAGCTTCCTTGAAGTTCTTTTTTCTCTGACATATTTTATTTCATTTTATACGGGCTTCGGATATAACAGACTGAGTGATTTTGGTAATACCTGTTTAAATTTATTTGTCATCCATGTGAAGAAATGAAAATATGCCATTTGCAATAACATTTCATAAAATTGTTCATTTGCATTTAATTTTAATGGATCAAAGAATGCCAATCAGAATGGTTGGCCTTAATGCATATTTACCTCATCAAATCTGCCCCGCTTTGAAAAGAGTTTGGTCACTCCTTCTTTAACGCCTCTACATATCTATTCAGAATTCATATGTGTCTAATATACACTTCTTGCTACTGTTGTCCGTGAAAAACCTCGATACAGTTGTCTCGGAGTGTTCCATCTTTCTGGCTTTCAATGCTTTTTTGTTTTTTGTTTGTTTTTTAGAAAACAGAATGAAAATTCTGTTGAAGAATAAAAATCCATTTTTGGAAACATTTATGAAGTAAAGGGTTAATTGCCCGTAACTGAAATTGGAACTCGGCTCTCCAAATAACGATTAGTCATTATCCATTACATCATCCGCACATCAAAACACCTGAACTTTCCCAATTGAATATAACGAACCCAACGGGAATTGGAATTCGACTCTCCAATTTCAAATTCCCCGCCATTATCCACTACACCACCCCCACATCCAAGGTTACAGCATCTGGTATTCCCAAGCGGTCACCCATCTAGGTACTGACCAGGCTCGACGTTGCTTAATTTCTGTGATCGTACGTGAACTGCTGTTTCAACGTGATGCAGTGGCGTGCAAAGGACTGGTAGCGCCCGGGGCTAGGATTGTGACGGACGGCCTCCTCCTCCGCAAACAACATCGCAACATATACTTAATTTATTTTCTTTTGGGCATATCCATTGTACACAAAGTTTCATAATAATCAGTTATAACGAAAGTTTAAATAAAAAAAATCATTAACACATTATGCAAATTCGGCCAATTTTATTTATGTATAGATTATAAATAAGGTTGACAAAATGGATTCATTTGCGAAACATTTCTTACCGTATTTTATTGTTTTAACACTAAAACTAGAGAAAGTTGAACATACTGATTAAAAAAAAAAATAATAATTGACTGTTGATAAGAATAAAGGGAAAACAATTTAAAATCATTAGTAGTTAGATACGATTTTGAGATATTTTATCTTTGTACATCATTTATATTATAAAAAATTTTTGTTTGTTTCTTTCTTTTTTTTTTCTCAATCTCCGACCAACTCCTTGTGCCAGACACAAAATTTAGTTGGCAGAATAAACGATAGCTGCCGTTAGTAAGCGCGAGTTAAAAACACAAGACAAATCACTGCGTAAAATTTTAAAACAAAAAAAAACATTTATTGTACAATTATTTTACAATAAGCACAAAAGTAAGAACAAGAAAGGTTGCACAAAAATTTCCTTCTGTGTGCCTAACACGGCAGGATAACAATATTTTCCTGGGGTTTAAAAAGGAAATACCCACAGAAACAAGCTATGAAATTTTAATTAGTTGTTTACTTTAACTCCGGTTTTTGAAAATTTAGACCCTTCAAAATACAAAAACACCAAAAAAAAAAAAGGAATAAAGTTTTCAGACCCTTTACAAAAATACAAAAAAAGGGACAAAGTTTTAGAGCCTTTACAAAAAATACAAAAAAAGGGACAAAGATTTTAGAGAGACCAACACTTAGCAGAACGCACAAAGCACCCACCTCCTTCCTTTGAAGAATTTTCGTTGACAGCAGGCCGGATTGGTTTTGGAAAAGGTTGGTTCCCCTTTCTTGGAAGAATTCTCATTGACAGCAGGCCGGATTGGTTTTGGTAGTCGGAGAAAGGCTGATTTATGGCCCACTTGCCGGTCAATGTAGAGAGAGGGTGTTAAGTGGTCTGCGAACTGAGTGTCATCTCAGCCTCGGTTCCCTTTCGTTATTTTTTGTTTCTACTGATCGTTTGTTAATGTCCTCTCTTTTATTTGAAAAAGTCGGCTCCACTTGGGGCCATCCGGAATTTCTACGGGTCTCGAAAACTTAATTTTCATTGGCCAATATATGAAAAAAGGCCCTTCAAAAATTTCACCTTTGGCGGCTATTTCCGATCCGAAAGGGTCATAAATTTTACACAAGAAAATCAGAGTTTGGCAAACAATTTTGGCGGCAAATCTTGATCTAAAATGGTCATAAAAAACGCACAGCTTTTTCCTTCTTACACACACCGTCCGGCTTACAAAAAATACACCTTCCTCAAAAGACGTGTAAATAAACAAAAAAACAAAAAAAAAAACAACACTGAGACGGTCTTACATTTAAATTGACATTTTTTTTAATTCTTTCTTTAAATAAAAATAAAATTTGTATACTATAGACAATATTGTTGGGGACGTGCAGAATTTATTAATTATGCTTGAAAGAATCAGAAGGAATTTGTGTAGGTTGCGTGACTTTCTGCATCCACAACAAATAAATAAACGAAATTTAAAATACGATTAAGAACAAGATATATTCAATTAGAAACTAATAGAACATTTATATACAATTCAAAACAATATACAAGCAGGATAATTGGTATATGTTATGTTGGCAAAATGTGTATGATGTTTTAGATTTCAGAATGTCTCTCTTTGTAATCGTTCGTTCATTTACAGTCTTTTTAGGTTTGTGTTGATATTAATAATTGTCGATATTAAGTGTCTTTTTAGAAGGAGTTCTTAATGAGTGATCTACCTTTGATTGTAATGTTTTTAAGGTCGTTCGCACATTGATGTTTCTTCATAGGTAGCGAATATAATTCACTTTAGATAAGTTGAGTTTTGATCGTGAGTGAGTCAGCGTTGATGTATCTTTGCGCGGTAAATCGTGATTTCGAGTGACGTCGTGTATGTTGGCTATTTCTCTGTGGGTGTTCGTTACTGACTTTCTAAAGTTGGTAAAAGTTCAGGAGTGATTTCAGAGTTCGTGAATGTTGGTAATTGTCTTTAACGTCTGGTCAGCAATGACTAAGACGGAAGTTGGTGAAGGTTACATCTTGAGACATTCGAGAGAGATGAATGAAAAGAAATGTACTACTCTAAAAAATTCACACGTGTTAGGTTTATATAATGGCCGTGTACCACGTGGGAGGCTCAAGCGAAGAAAACGGGAAAAACAGATTGGTCGCGTGCAGGCGGTTTGATTGGTCAGAACTGGCCAATCAGCAAGCTAGATTGGAGTTTTCCGTACGTAGGCGTAAGATATAGACTGCTCTGTTGCTAGGGGTGATAGGTAAGAAAAAGACGAGTCTACAATATAGTCTATAAAAACAACGTATAACAATAAAATAATTGTCGGACTTAGTCCATATCATAAAATTTTGCGAAAATATTGTTTTGCAAAATCTTTTGAGAATTCTTTTGTGAAATATGACAACAAAAAGAGAAACTATATATTATTGTGCTCTAAAAAAATAAGCTGAAAGATTAATTTTTAAAAGATATTTCATTTCAATTTTTAATTAAAATTAAGTTTGTTTTGAAATTCTTGAATTTTCCTCCCTGTCTCCTATGACATTGTTGCTTATTATTAATTAACTAAAATCATGTTTACTTACTATTAATAATAAATAGTAAAATAGAAGATATGGATATTGCATAGAATAGAATGCGCGGAAAATTAATGACCAAAAATCAAATAGTTTCTATTAAATATTTCATACATTAATAAAGTTTACTTATTTTAGTGATTGATTTTTCCATACAGATATTCTGAGGTCTTGTTTGCTGGGTTTTTTTTTTGTTGTTGTGTTTTTTAACACGTTTTAAATTTCTTTAAAATAGAGTTAACAAAAAGAAAAGAAAATACACTTACATTTATGTTGATGTCAAATTTCCTTTGGCTTTTCATTTTTTAATCTGAAAGAAGTTGACTCTAAGAGAATGAAAATGTAACTAACTGTTTGACTAATAACCAATTTTTTTAAAAGTAGTCTTTGATTTTATGACATTCTATCTCCGTATCCGATCTTTATATCTTTTGAACTTTCTTTTCACTACCAGTTCACATACATGAAAAATCAAAAATCAAAATGAACGAAGTGACGCCAAAATCTTGGATTTCTCACATAGGTGTGAAAAAACTTTGGATTCAAGTATGTACCAGCTGACAAATATAGACATTTGTAGGGGTTGAATGTAGATATGTTCAAATCCCTACGTATTTTAATTTACAAATGGAACAAAATGAGCAAGCAACAAGAGAAATAATAATGTAACAACAATGTATTGGTTCAACAATTAATAATACACATTTGTAACACAATAGACGTACAAATATTTATTGTTCAAGTATTTTAAATTGTTCCAAAGCTTTGTTTGGTTTGTTTTGGTTTATGGCGTTATTAAAGTTTCGGTTTGAAAGATGTTGAACTGTGTAGATGAAAATGAGAAAGTGTGCTTAAGTATTATTGTGGGAAAATTAAACAGTTCTGTTTTTGTAGTAAATCCGAAGTATTGTTCTCGACTTACTGTGATTTCTACAAAGTTGTCACTCTTTAACTTGAGATGTTTGTAGCAAAATGAATAAATTGTTTGAGTGAATGTTCCTTTGCAAGCTGGGTTTATGTTAATTTAAGTAATTAACGTTAAGCCTGAAATTGGGTGACATAGGTTCATTGTCGAGGTGAAAAACTTGGTTCATCTCACTGCCGAGGATGAACAGCTACTAAAAAAAAACTTGTATCACGTTATTGGCTCCAAATTGCTTGGCGCAATCTGTGTTTTAACTCGGGTCAGAAACTAGGTTGTTTCGATTCGGACGTAGTTGAGAACAGGTGAAGTGTATTTTTTTAAATATTTGTTAACCAATCAGAAAACGCCTTTGCAAAAACTCAGTTTGGAGCTTGTTTTAGCTGTGCGGATTTTGAGAACAATGTAGAATTTGAATTCTACATCCCCTCTCCTGCAGATTGGGAAATGGTGAAAATATTTCTCAATATGTGATGTAAGTCTTGTATCTGGTAGGCCAATGCACGTGTTTGCCTGATTTTTTAGTAACGTCTGCAAGTGATGGTAAATGTAAAAACTGTTTTGGTTGTGTTGAAGGCGTTGGATATCTTTCTATAGCAGGTTGAAATGACAAATCGATGTACGCTGGTTTCAGTCGATCACCCGAAACAGTATTGGATTTGCCCTAGATAAGTAGAGTGAAGTACTTAGACTTCTTATCCAGGTCTTTATGAGGACCAGAATAAGTAGGACTAAGGGTTTTTTTTTTACTGCGTCATTGCGCAGAAAGACAGTCACAATTATCCAGATATTTGGTGTAAAAATATCTGTGAATTGAGTTCTTGTAGGCGTAAGCATCAAATTATCCATCCGTTGTTTAAATTCTTGAACAAGGTAAATAGACGGTTTTGCGGAATTATGTTTTTCGGTGAATTGTCCTGGGAGAGTCAAAGTGCTTCGGAAAACTAACTCAGAGGTAGTACATCCAAGGTCTTCTTTGATTACGTTGCAAATGGAAAGTAACACTAGTGGTAGGTTGTCCAGCCACGTTCGTGAGTTGTGACTAGCTGTTAGTACCGTCTTCAACTGCCTGTGAAAACGTTCCACCAAACCATTTGCACATGGGTGGTAGGCAGTTGTGGAAATATGTTTAAAACCCAACAAGTTGACAAACTCAGCGAAAAGAGTTGACTGAAATTGTGAGCCTCTATCTGTCGTGATGACGGAGGGACAACCAAATATAGAGATCCAGTCCTTTAAAATGCACTTAGAAACAGTCTCC